ATACAAAGGTTGCATTCCATCATTCAATAAAATATGTAAAAACTGGAACAACAAATTCATTTAATCAATCTCCGAAATTCTTTAGCTGGACATTCTGGATACTTTATCATGCAGTTGTACATTACCAGTGAGTTTTTTTATTCAATTGAATTGCATATAAAATAATTTGTATTTATATAGTTTCTAAAATAACAACAATGACAATGATGATGATGATGATGATGATGATGATGATGATGATGATGATGATGATGATGATGATGATGATGATAGTTCCATTTTAATGTTACTATTTTTGGTATATTATTCCCAAGATTACTACTACTACTACCAATACAACTATGACTACCAATACTACGACAACAACGACCACTACTTTGACTATAAGTACCATAATTATCTAATTAATTGGTGGCTTTTGATATCATATTGGGGTGGGGATAATATTCTTACACTGATTGAATTGTTTTTAAATAAGCAAATAATTGTATGGAGATTTGGTTTTATGACAATGATTTATGTAATATATTATATTGTTGAAGCAGCTTTAATTTATGCCACGTAAGAAAGATTGAAAAGTGGAAATAAATTTATTTTTTTTTAATTTAATTAATCATTTTTATTATATTATTTTAGATATGATTTTCCGGTGTATGGTTTTCTTAATTGGCGTTATCAAGGTATACGAGTTATCGGTTGGTGTGTTTTGGTGATTTTTATTTTCATAATTGCATATATTATAACATTTCGGATCCATAGATCTAGAGATTGTCTTGGAAAAAAATATCATGATAACATGGATAAGAATCAACAAACTGCACGTGATAATACAATGGAACAAAGGGCACATACTGTCCAAGTAGTCTAAGTCACATACTTGGAGTATAAGTTATTATGTGTTGTTGTTTAACCATGTATTCTATACTTTTGTATTAAATTGATGAATGTATTTTCTCTTAGTTTTGAATCCACAAATTAGATTTGAAAATTTTTCATGTTATTTATTTAATTATTAAGAGATTTAATAAATATTACTATTTTTTATTAACAAGTTTGCGTATTAGGATCCTTACATATGCACTGATTTTGGTTGAATCCCAAAATTCAGTGCAACATTATGAATACTTTATACTAGCAAAAGCCCATTGATTTTGAGGTTGGGCCATTGGTTTAACTGGATGTTGAATAATAAAATAGTTTTTTTTAGCGGAGCAAATAAATTTTTTAGGGTCAATCATCCTAACCAGTTTATACATTTAAATACTCGTGTTTAATGTCGATATTAAGGATGGGCAGATCAGCACTATACGTATGGGCATTATGCAACTTTTCGAACATGGTGATCTTTTCTTATAACTGATTTATTTTAAAAGTTTATTAAAATAAAATAATTATACATATCTAAACTCGATAAGTCGGACATAGCAATCAATTGTTTAAAGTACTTTGTAATATAAATAAAAGTCCGACTTATCGAGTTTAGATGTGTAATTTTTTTGTGAAGGTGATTTTAAAGCCGGTCTAATTGAATAAAAAACATCACAAATTGATTTTAATTCAGAAAATGAAAAATGAAGTCCACAACAAAAAATAGCAGTTGCAAATAAAATTCAAATTTTTGTTGCTCTGCAGAAGAAATTATTAATAGCTGAGGTGTCAACTAAATGAGTTTCTTGAGATAAAGAAGAAGAGGAGGAAGAGGAAGTAGCCTCATGGCCGAGCTTTGTAAAATGAGACCAAATTTTACTAAGCGGAGGCATAAAAATAAAAGTCTTTTTTAAAAACTTCGTGTAACATTATTCGTTGGGACATTATTATTATGCGCATTTTAAAAAATTCATTGCGCATTATGCAATTTTGCCCATCTCTAGGCGGAAAGCTTGCTATAGAGAGTGTGCGTGAAATCTATTTAATTGTTTTATTGCATCATTTTAAAATATACAATTTAATTTTATTAGCTTTCAAAAAAAAAAAAAATTTTTCACACATGCACAAACAAGTAAGAGAGATAAAGCGCGTCGGTTTTATGAAATTTCTTTCAATGCATGAAGACAAATTAGGTGTTTATTTTCACACATAATTATAAATCAAGAAATCATTTAGAATTGAATTTCATTGATAAAAAAAAGAAATCATTTATTTTTAATTTTTATTAAAAGACTTTGTTTTTCCTTGACAAAAAATCAAAAATAAATAATGAAGTTTAATCCTGAGCTTTCCGTGACTTCATGGTTTGTCAGCCCATTAACATTGCTGATATTTAGAGGAATGGCAACAGCAATTACATGGATGAATTTGTTATTATGTTTATTTAAATATGCTGCTGAATACTTTTTTTATTTTGAAAATTGGAGTTAACTTGGATTAACATTTTATTTTACTGTAAGGTTCCTTTACTTATTTGAAAAAAAAATTTATTTTCAAAAAGAGAAAAAAAGTAATGTATTATTTTTTTAAAAAATATAAAGTTTGCATTCCTCTATTCAATAGGTTATGTAAAAACTGGAACAAATTCATTTAACCAAACTCCTCAAAAGTGCTTTGACTGTTCATTCTGGATGCTTTATCATACAGTTGTATACTACCAGTGAGTTTTTATTCAAATCAATTCCATAGAAAAATAATTTGTATTTATATAGTTTCTAAAATAATAACAATGATGATGATAGTTCCATTTTAATGTTTCTATTTTGGGCATATTTTATCCAAAATTACTACTACCACTACCACTACCACTACCAATATTATGACAACAATGACCACTATTTTGACCACAAGTACCGTAATCATCTAATTAATTGGTGGCTTTTGATATCACGTTGGGGTGGGGATATTGTTCTTGCACAGATTGAACTGTTTTTAAATAAGCAAATAATTGTATGTGGATTTTGTTGTATAGCAACAATTTTTGTAATACTTTATATTTTTTAAGCAGGTATAATTTATGCCACGTAAGTAAGATTTGAAAAGTGAAAATAAAAATTTTTTTTTTTTAATTTAATTAATCATTTTTATTATTTTAGATTGGGTTTGCCGGTTTATGATTTTTTTAATTGGCGATATCATGGTCCAATTGTTATCGGTTGGTGTATTTTAGTGATTTTGGGTTTCGCAATTTCATATGTTATAACAGTTTGGACACATATATTTAGAGATTCTCTTGGAAAAGAATATCAAGATAACATAGATAAGAATCAACAAATTGCACGTGATAATGCAATGGAACAAAGTGCACCTAGAGTAGTAGTAGATACTTTTGTATTAAACTGATGAATGTATTTTCTCTTAGTTTTGAATCCACTAAATTAAATTTGAAAATTTTTCTTGTTACTATTTAATTATTTATTAGGAGCTGAGATATAATAAATATTACTATTTTTTATTGACAAGTTTGCGTATTAGGATCTTTACATATGCGCTGATTTTGTTTGATCATAATGTTATAAATATTTTATACTAGCAAAAACCCATCGGTTTTGAGGTGGAGCCATTGGTTTAACGGGATGTTGAATAGTAAAATAGTTTTTTAGGGAGCAAATAAATTTTTTAGGGTCAATGATCATTCTAACCAGTTTATACATTAAAAAAATACTCGTGTTTGACGTCGAGATACAATAAGGTTTGAAAAAAGGTGACCAAAAAAACCATAAAAAGATTAATGATATTTGTAGTCAAGCTTTCTAGGATATCACATATTTATCATCGTTTGTTAAATTTTGTCTGAATAATTTTGACAGGTGGTGTGTTTATTATTGTATTGTATTGTTTATTATGTAAAACTACAACTATATTCGAAGGACTTTTGCGGTGGTAGCAGTGCTGATTTATTACTAAGGTTAGTGCTATGGCTTAAACTGGACATTAAAAATTGATAATCTGACCAACTGGGAGGAAACGACTCAGTAGAATAAATTAACTTTATTACGGGTAAATAGAAATGATTATTTTTTTTATCAATATTAATATTAATTTTAATAATACAGTTTCCGTATTAGTTAATATAGTAATATCAATATAAAAATGCTGTAATTTTAGCACCGTATTCCATACTATTATTATTATTATTATTATTATTATTATTATTATTATTATTATGTACCGATTACGTATTTTAAGGTGCATTTTCTCGTAATCACTGATTATTGAGATATTTTGGTTTACTGTATATATTACAATAACTCGACGTTTATTGATACATTGAGCATTAAATTACCGTTATTCGAATCGTCTTTATGATACTATTCTAATGAACCGTGTTTCATTAAATTTGGGTCACTGGTTCTCGAGATAAATTATTAATTATAATAAATCATGTGATATGACATTTTATTCATTTTGACCTTTTAGGGTCAAAGTCGAAATGGACAAAAATCAATTTCGATCATTTCGACTTCACGTATAATCTCTATACCATTCTACAACAATGTCCTTCTTACATGGAAATTAAATCTGCAATTTTTATGGGTATCAATATTCAGATGCATGTGATCAGATTGTGAATATATTATTTTTTATTCCTCAAGGAAAAACATAATTTGAACCAGCATGTGATAAGATCCAAGTATATTCGGATGACCCAATAAAATTATTTGATAATGATAAATCAAAACAAGGTATTGAGATAAATATGAAAGAAGAATAGAACATTCAAAATAATTTATGTGTTCCTTTGTAATATAAAAACTAATGCATAATAATAATCTTTTTTATTTCTTTTTGCTGTGAATATTGGGATTTTCAATAATAATTTTCATTTCTATTTTTTCATTCAATTCTTGTATCTCTTGTTCTTTAATAGATTTAAATTAGAATCATCATAGAATTTTTCGCTCTCACATGATTTATGAAAGTGAAAAATTAAAGAAACTAATAAAAATTTGCCGATCTAGTATAGTCGTTTGTACGAACAATTTTCCGAAAAAGGCGATTATTTTTTTCATCTTTTTTCAAAAAATTCAAGTAAAAAATTTTTTATACAACATAAATTTAAAGAGGAAAAAATGTTTAAAACGTTTAATTTAACAAAAGGTCTTTCAAAAAAGGCTTCTATGGTATGAAGAAGTTTTAAATTTATTAGCATTAAATAATAATATAACATTATTATTGTTATTGTATATTCAAGCTTTCAAAAGGTCAACAAAAAAGATTTTTAGCAATTCACGAATATTTATCAATGGATCTTTTAAACAATTATGGTATAAAAACTCCTAAAGGCTCTGTCGCAAAAACTCCATCAGAAGCATATGATGTAGCTCAAAAACTTGGTTTAATTTATTTTTATTTTTATTTAAAGCTGTTGATTTAATAAAGATCAAATGCTAATAATAAATGTTAAATTTTTTTGGTAAGTAATTAGGTACTGAAGATGCAGTAATCAAAGCTCAAGTTTTAGCTGGTGGTCGTGGTAAAGGTACATTCGAGAGTGGACTTAAAGGTGGTGTTAGAACCATCTTTTCGTATGTATTATTTATTGATATATATATGTTGTATATTATAAAAATTTGTTACAATTACTTATGTTTTTGATAATCATTATAGCGCTGCTGAAGCTAGAATGTTTGCTGAACAAATGTTAGGTCATAAACTTGTAACAAAACAAACTGGTGCAGCTGGAAAAATATGTAATGCGGTAAAAAAAAAATTTTTAGAATAAAAGTGAATAATTTTTAATTTACCAAAAATAATAAAAATAAGAATTTTTAATCTAGGTATATATCGTTGAACGTAAATTTGTTCGACGTGAATATTATCTTGCCATTTTACAAGATCGAAAATCTCAAGGTCCTGTAATAGTTGCCTCATCTCAAGGAGGAATGGATATTGAAAGTGTTGCAGCAGAAAGTCCTGAAGCCATCATTACTTTGCCAATTGATATAGATGTTGGATTGGAAAAGGACAGTGCTCTAACTTTGGCTAAAAAATTAGGATTTTCTAATAAAGTTCAGGAAGATGTATGTTTATTGCACATTTTGAATTATTATTATAAGCTATCATCATCATTAATTAATTAATTAATTAACTCATTAACCTGATATCTATTTAGGCTGCTGATATGATGCAAAAACTCTACAAGTTGTTTATAGAAAAAGACTGTACGCAAGTAGAAATTAATCCAGTGGCAGAATCTACCGAACATGAAGGTTAAACTAATAACAAAATATTCATGACAGGTTTATTAAAATAAAAAAAAAAGAACATTTTATTGATCAAACATTTATATTAAAAATTATAGTATTATGTATGGATGCAAAACTTAATTTTGATGATAATGCAGAATTTCGTCAAAAAGATATATTCGCATTACGTGATACATCACAAGAAGATTCTCGTGAAGTTCAAGCAGCAAAATTTAATCTAAATTATATTGGCCTAGATGGTCAAATTGGTTGCTTAGGTAAATTAAATGTGAATGTTTTAAGAAAAATTTATATTTATATATATATATATATATAATTATATTTTTTTTGAATAATTTAGTAAATGGAGCGGGTTTGGCAATGTCAACTATGGATATTATTAAGCTTCATGGTGGCGAACCAGCTAATTTCTTGGATGTTGGTGGTGGTGCTACATCTGAACAAGTGACTGAGGCATTCAAAATTATTTCATCAGATCCACAAGTCACAGCAATTTTGGTAAATATTTTCGGAGGTATTATGCGATGTGATATTGTTGCTAAAGGTATCATTCAAGCAGCAACACACTTGTCTTTATCGATACCTGTAATAGTAAGGCTACAAGGTAATAATTAGTTTCTACATGCATTGGATTTTTAATTTTATATGTATATATGTGTTTGATTAATTGTATTGTATTAAAATATTAATTAACAGGCACCGAAGTGGAGGCAGCAAGAAAATTGATTTCAGAATCTGGTTTGCGTATAATTTCTGTGGATGATCTTGATGAAGCAGCAACCAAATCTGTACAGTTATCAAAAATTGTCCAACTTGCACGCAATGCAAATATCGATGTCTCATTTGAATTACCTATATAAATTTATTGTCAATAAAATTTATTATTTTCTTGTTTTAATTAATGGTACTATTAATATAGAATTATTAATAAATTATAAATCACTTATATTACAATTGTCTTAAAAAGGTCATAATTAAAATAAACTTTATTGACAATTCATTAATTTATTAAGATGAAAATAACAGGAAAACATTGGATTTTTTTTTGTTTAAGATATATTTTGTAAATTTAACATTGAGTTCCTCCAAATGTGAAAATTAGAGATCAATATAAACGGCAGTTCATTAATCTGTCGATGTTAAAGGTTAAATCCGAAATATTGAGTGAGGGCTCAGATCTAATAATGTGTTATCCACATTGATATAACTACAGAGCATAACTAAGTGGTGTCACCAATTGAATCGTTTAACTATAGATCCAATTTTTTGAAAAGTCCAGATGCGTGCATCATCATCAAAGGACTGCACATCTGTACCATTGATCTTCTCGGCAACAACATCTTCACCTAAGATGGGTGTTCGGTTTACGATATGCAATTGTGTATGCTTTTTTCGCGGATAAAGTGGATGAAAATTTTAATTCCCTGTTATCGAAATGTTGAGGGTTGAAACGAAAAATTCATTTAGTGTGGATGTTTATAATGGGGGTTTTTTTATTGAACTTTCTAATTATGATTCTTGTTTATTACAACGACACGAATAAAAATTTTTATTATACATATAGTTTCTATACAATAACCCAGTGTGTTACGCAAAAAAGAAAGTAGAATTTTACATTAAAGAATAAAATGAGGTCGTTTAATGAAATACTGATAATAAATGAAGATTAACTTCAGCAAAAGGTTGCTCCTAGAAGCGTCTTAACAACCTTCTACTTGATTTTCAATCTACCATTTGTTGTCTACATTTAATCATCGCTGTTGAACAGAAAATTACCAGGCACCTCGTCAGTAAAGTAAATGATAAAAATAGAACCAAAATACACATCCTTCGGCAAAGTAGAAATTTATGGGCTAATTTAACACGATAGTTAATGTTTGCAAGGATGTTTAGAGCGTAAAACCAGATTGGCCAGAATGATTCTGTCTAAACAATGCTGCTATTGTTACAAGCGTATCCCAAAAAAGATAATCAAAATCATGTTTGGTTGTCATATGAATGATCCAGGATACCCAGAAAATAAAATTCAAGAAACTCGATTTTTGTTTTCAACAGCCTTGCGTTTAATTCTATTCTCAAGCGTGATATACCCAGAAGTGGAACCATGTAATCTTGGTTGAATAGAGAAAGAATAGATCCTTTGAAGAAGAGATACTGTAACTGCTTATAGCGAATAATGAAGTAAGGGTTCGCCCATAGAACTGGTTTATGTTTATTGGCAACAAAATCCGAATAATCAATTGACAAAAACGTACGTACACTGTCATCGTGCTATACATTGTTTATTCAGGTCATCTTATAACAAATTTTCTTTTTAAGCGCGGGTACGTAAATGCAAACACAAACGATTCTTTATTTTTATATTAATAATTTTCTATAAACATCAGGAAACTTTTCTGAGATAAAATTATGTCATGGTAATTATTACATTGCTTACGTAATTCACGATGAAAAAATTTCCTGGAGCCAATACAAGATTAAAAATAAACGCGAGTTTACATTGGAGGAATTGCGCGACCAAAAGCGCCATAATGTACACCCCTATTCTAGGTTAATATTTTTAAACGCTTCACTATATGCAACTTTTTTCTTTCCTTACAAGCAAGGTAATATATTGACTAATGACATTTATTGCAAAATCAAGTGATTCAAGCATGCGTATCAGTGTTTTCACGCTCCAAAAAAGTAGTAATAAATCGACCCTATATTGAAAACCAGGATGTACACTTCCTGGTCATAAATATAAGGACACTTGCAGATCATCAGAAATAATTGAATAAAGAAACATGAAAATAAATAAAAATTTTATTAACCTAACCGCATTTGCTTATTAAGTAAAAATTCATCTTCATATCAAATAGTATAACATAC